AGGCATTATTTCTGTTGAATTATTCATTTTATGATACAATTGAAAATTATTTTATTAAATTAAATGTGTGGGGCGAGAATGATAATAATTGATTCTTTTGCTTTGTTCAGATACGTCGATAGTGTAATAGGTGTTAGATGTGTTATATATTCCCCTATCCTTATTACTTATGATTATTATTGATTAACTGTTCATTGTTGTTTGATTGTATTGGAGTTTGGTGTGGAAATATATTGACGTTCTAGTCAGGTTAATCTGGTGTTCTTGATCTGAGTTGTGTTGAAGTCCTGTAGAATAGGCGACATTGGGAGGTAACCTAGTATAGATATTCGTCCAAGGTAAATTAACATCCGGACCGTTATAACATAAATATTTAGATCCATTTTAATCAATCTGATAGTTATTTGATAAGTTATAAATGAATGTTTTAGAGTTAGTAATTATATTAACTTTTATGTCCTAGTAAAGACTTAAGTACGGGTAACTCCCAGAACCTATCAATGAACTATTATTCTATATATATTTTCATGGTTTAAGAATTGAGTAACTAGATTGTGTATATTTATATTAATTTTATCATAAGCTTCATTTTGACCTATAGATTATTATTATACGAATTACTGTCCCTAAATTATATTCAGTTTATTGATTACTGTCTCCCACGTTCACAGCCACATTTGGTTTGATCTTGTACAAATATTATTTTCTATTTTATGGTGTGATTTGGTCTGTCTGTCTGGTATATAAACAGTGCATGCTTGAAATGAGCGATTTACATAGATTCGCATAGCAGAAGCTGTAATTGGTGTTCTGAGCTCAACTGAATGAACCAATAAAGATGTTAAGGTGCTCATACCGGTCGAAAGTCATTGGTTCGATACAGTGTTAAGATTGGATAAGTCGTATTTCGATTGGTCAATAAATCACGTGGTAAAACGTCAGGCGTAAATTTACAACACTAACTTTGAATTAGCTTTATGTACGAAGAAAAATTGAGTACCCCTGAGTCATTGAATGAATGATACTTAAATATTAAGTTGAATAAAATTTATTTTTAGTTACAACTGAGAATTGATGCCATTTAGCTTAATTGTATATTTCAAATCTATCATTTATAGGTATCTTTTTGTTGGTGTAGTTGTTGATGTAGTCTGGTTAGCAGTGAGATCTTGAACTCTCGTTTGTTCACATTTGAAACTGTTTGTTTACACAAACCTGTAACTCAGCGTAAAGGTTTATCTCAGGACTCGAAACCAGTATCTTTTGCTTGAAAAGTCAATCTAATATCCACTTCCTTACTGAATGGTTCTAAATTTGTGAAACAAAAGCTGTGTTGAGACAAATCTCACAGGATATACATATACTATTTAAGATTAATCAAAATCCAGTTACATATATCAAAAACAGTATAATTCAAATCATTAACATGGATTGACTTAAACACTAGGTGAACTGTTTATAAACATAATGAAATTAGATATTTATAATATTCAAATGAGTAGTGACCTTGTGCCCCTATCAATATATGACGTAATGATACTGCCAATTAGAGAACAGTGAACTATTAACCGGAGAAATTACACGCAAATCCGTACGAGCGGTCTAGATTGCTTATCGATCCTTCTTCTTGTCTAACCCTGCTTGTTGAATCCAGAACACCAACATCAGCCTCCGCGATATGAATCATATATTTCAAACACACTAGGTTTATATACAAACCAAACAGACTACATCGTACCATATAATAGAAAATAACATTTTTACAAGATTTGGCCAAATGTGAATGTGAATGTGGGAGACTAATTAATAGAATGGGCATAACGGTAAATAGTATAATGATAATAATCTATAAGTCAAAATAAAGCTTATAATAAAAGGAACATGAATATGCATAGTTTCCTGTTGACCAACTGCAACCACCATCTTATCTCAACATAGTGCACACAGTGTCGAGTCCCCTAGACTAGTCACCACATTGCAACTTGATCGATAGCATTCGATCAGCACTTGACACGCATGACAATGATCACCACCCAGTGATCAATCAATTGTGACTTAACAATCATACGATAAAAATATATATGTCATAGTAGTTCATAAATAGTTCTCAAAAGTGACCATTCATTAATCTGGTTGGGATATAACAATCACAATGTAATCTTATGATATGATAAATCATATCTAGTTAACGTTTAACATTACGTAATTCAATTCATTTAAATGTGACCACTATCCAGAACAGTAAATCATATATATATAACTTAGTGTATATAGGGATCATTCTGATTTATTGTTAAGTGCATCATAAATTCTCATTTGCATTCTTGATCTCCTTCTTTACCTCAAACAATATCCACTTTTTCTTATTCACTCCCTATATGAAATGTTTAATGTAGCCCATATGGTTACTTGCTTTTTTGTATAACTAAATACTGGTACATTATAACATTTGATATTGTATCCAATTCCATATGTATTTACATAAGAAGATAAACCTGGGTTTCTTTTTTAATCTGAACGATTCCTTGTATTATATATATATATCTTCAGTGGGGATTATGAATCACATATCCTTTTTAAGAAACTCGGTTATGTTTATTTTGACAATTAGATATATCAAGTTACATTACTGTTTTTGTATAAAGGATACCTACAACTTTAATCTATACAATCTCTGTATAAACTCAGGGTATAAGAACTTACATTAATGGATTACTTATTAATATAAATTAAGTTATTTAGAAAAGATGGATTGTGGATGACAGTGAAATTTATGATATGCGTTTTGTCCTACTTTAGGTTCGTCAGTCTTATTTAAAGAGGAAAACCACAGGATTCGAATTCTTGTATGAAAATTAAAGATGAGTCGTAGGTGAATTCATCGGATAGGTCCTAAATAAGACAAAATGGGAATTACAGATACTACTTCTAGTCACAATTCATCTGTTTAAAATAAATTATGTCTGTATGATCAGATCGAAGAAATCTACAGAGAATGTTCACACACTAACAAGGATTAATCAAACTTCGGTCTCTGATATTAACGACAGAATAAATTCAACGCTCCAGTGATAATGATATAAGGAAAATGGTTCCATGTACACTAACGTATGTGTTTGTTAAATATTCAGTTTCTTGTAAGGCATATAACACTTAAAGGGAATCTTTGATTCTATTTTCTGATATTTTATGAACATTCGTTTTTTTTTAGTTGAATTCATGAGACCACATAAGCTTAACCACAATGAAAAACCTGGAAGCACCTGATAGCCATTTTGTTCTAGTATGGGACTCCTCAACAGCGCGTATCCACGATCACACATGCAGGTCTCGCTCCCAGGTTTTCCATGGTGATCTACCATAAATTAACACATGAATTCTTATGTCAAATTACTACAATATAAACAAAACACCCTTTCTGATAATGATCCTAATGTTTTTACTAGTGACTGTCTTCAAGATGAATTTCCTGGAGTTCTAGTGATAATCTGTGAGCAGTGGAGTTCTACCTTGTCGGTTGTGAGACAGTTACTCACTGACGAAAATGTTGCACGGTCGCTCAATATGGTGGATTATCTTAAGTTAGACATTAACACTGTTGGATGCCGACTCAAAGTTCTAAAGATCAAGCACTGCTCACGAGTCCCATATTAGGACGATATGGCTGTCTAGTGCTTCCAGGTTTTCTTGAGAAATTGTTTCGTAAATGAAAATAAGGTACATTTGTATTCAAAAATCAAATTACTATGAAAATTACCAGAGAATATTTACAAACGGGCGATAAGAATTTGTAATCATGTCTTTATTAGTCATCGACTTTCACCGGGTTTGCAAGCATAAAATGCATTCAAGAGATTTAGGTATTGTTATAAATGTAGGATACTTGTTATAACGCTATGGTTTCTTGATATAACAGTTCTTTCACTTTTTACACGTATGTGGGATGTTAATTTACCTTGGACGAATATCTATACTAGGTTACCTCCCAATGTCGTCTATTCTACAGGACTTCAATACAACTCAGATCAAGAACACTAGATTAACCTGACTAGAACGTCAATATATTTCCACACCAAACTCTAATACAATCAAACAACAATGAACAGTTAATCAATAATAATCATAAGTAATAAGGATAGGGGAATATATAACACATAACACCTCTCACACTATCTACATGTCTAACTCAACAAAACAACCAATCATTGTCATTCCCGCACATACATCACTTGTTCAATTTAGTTTAAGTATGATGTAGTTTTTTTGTGAATAAACTGAAACGACTATGTTATGAATAGTAGCCAGCATTAGGATTCAGGAAGACAAGTAGAATTGAATCCAAGTGTTGACAACCGCGCTGAGGTGAGAAATACTGTATCTATCACTGCAAAGAAAATGTCATTATCTGTTTGGCAACTACGTTGCAGTCTCATTCTGAATAATAACCTTGGGATATAGTTAAACACGAATGACTAGTCATTTAAAAAACACGTTTTCTGAATCCCACTACTACTAAATATCCACAAAACAATGTTACGTGCATTTAATTCATTGTAATTTCCTTCTGGATATCTGTATGTATTAGGTCGGAAACCCTTGATGTCACTGGCTTCTGAAAAAAATACACAACTAAATCCAATCAATAATATAAAACAAACCCAAACGTAGACAAACTTCTACACCATCGACTAACTCCCTTAAATACAAATCCAAACTTATATTTTATCAATGTCAGTTTTCCTTTACACGTGAATTAGTTGCCCGTTCACTTACTTAATTACTTACTTGCTACCGCCTTTTACCCCTCTCTTATGAGCATAGGTTTCCCACCAGCACTTTCCATCCAACTCTGTCCTTGTTAAAACATACCAAAATTGAAACTACACTTTATTCCAATTATTATTGAATTAACCAATGAAATAATTATTTTACAAAAATTGATTTAACCAATCAAATGCAAATACCATGATTTATCTGTAGACTAGTGAATTAATTAAAAAGCATATCCTTATTTCCCTGACACAAAGTGAAGTAAAAGAAAAACGATATAGTTAACAGGACAGAAATTGTTCCCATCATTATTGTTTATAATCTATTTGATAATATGACTTCTTTTGGTCCACATTATATTTGTGATTACATTAAACATTCAACTATACTAAAATCATTTTCCAAATCAACCCTCCTATCAATTATTGAATTCATGAATAATCAATCAAATAATATGGAGAAATTGTTGTCAACTGATCATTTATTACAAAGATATACGAACGATACTACTTATATATCATCATCATCATCATATATCAAAGAAAATCAATTGAATACATTATTAAACCCTATAGAATATAATTCAATATATCATAATTATCCCCCCTTTGATAATAATATCCCATTCTCAATTATTATTCTATGTTCTATTATTGATTATTTATGGAATTATATACCCCCTTTAATATTTTTAATTGGTACTATTGGTAATTTATTTACATTTTTAATTTTTTATAAACTACGTACTACATTATATCCATCATCTAATATTTATTTATTATTTTTATCTATTATAGATGAATGTGTATTATTTACTGGTTTATTACGTAGATGGTTAGATAAATTATTAAATATACGTTTAGAAGATAAACATTGGTTACTATGTAAAGCAATACAATTTATTGGTGTAACAACAAGTTATATCTCTGTATGGATTATTGTATTAATTACAATTGAACGTACTATAGTCATTATATCACCAATAAGTTCTATTTATATGAATCATATTAAACGTTCATATATATTTATTATTAGTTTATGTTGTATAGCAACAATAATAAGTTTACATTTTTTTTTTACTGTTAACTTAGTAACTATGATTCCTAATTATCTTATTAATTATGATCATAATAATAATACCAATTCTACATTGATAATCAATGAAAACTATTCAAAAATCAATATCAATTATACTACTTTTTTACAAGTAACCCCTAATTATCTTAATTACTATGAACAAGACAATATTAATTCTACATTATCAATCAATGAACTTTATTCAATAAAGGATACTACTTTACAGGTAACCTATGATCATTTTCATGATTCCAATCATTTAATATGTGATTTTTATTTAATATATAAACAAAATGGTTTTCAATCTATATGGATATGGATTGATGCTACATTATATAGTTATTTACCATTTATTATTATATTAATATTTAATATTCTTATATTAATAAATTTATATTGGGCTACAAAAAAACGTTTTCATTTAATTAATAAAATTTCATCCAAAAAATTTTTATATCAATATACTACTGATAATGATCATTTCAATAATCTGCATCATCATCATCATCATTATCAGGATCATAAAAAAATGGATCATTTATCAATGAAATTAAATCAATCATCTTTATGTTCTACTACATCAATATATCCTAGGAAACATGATACATTACAATTACAAATGATTACACCACAAACTCCAAGTACCCCTTCTATGAATAGTTGTCATATTGATGAGATAACTAATACTAATATGAATATATTTCATACAAATAATAGTAATAATAACATTGATATTAACTTATGTAAATGTAAACATCCAATTGTTGCTATGCAATTAAAACCATCTAATTATCATCATAATCTAAAAGGTATCATTAATAAAACATCTAGATCTAATCCTACTATTTATTCTAATGAAATGCGTCAATTAACTATATTATTAATGTTAATTTCATGTATATTCTTAATTACAACTGCACCAATTGTATTAATTAAATTATTATTAGCATGGAAACTAAAAATATTTTTTTTTAAAAAAAATAAAATAATTTTATTAGAATTTATTGATTGTATTGCAGAATTATTAATGTATATTAATCATGCTATAAATTTTTATTTATATTGTGCTGTTGGAACAAAATTTCGTAAAGAATTTAAAAAATTATTTGGTTGTCAATTAAAAAAAAGAAAAAATTTAAGAAATTGGTGACAATTTTTCTTTTTTTTTTCGAATTTTCCTTTTTTTTTTCTGTTTATTTTTGGTTGCTAAGTATGGTATGACGTGACGATGCTGCTAGATAGAAAACAGCGACTCATCAAACCCGTACGAGCAGTCCAGAGTATTTATGGGTACTGCTATCTGTCTAACCCAACCAGTTAAGTCCAGAACATCAATAACAGTCTTTGTAATATGAATGAACAATGTATATCAATCATGCCATTAGTTTTTATTTATATTGTGCTGTTGGTACAAAATTTCGTAAAGAATTTGAAAAAGTGTGAATTAAAAAAATGAAAATATTGAACATTTTTGTTTTTTCTTCTTTTTTCTTCTTCACCTTTTCCTTCTTCTTTTTTTTTCTTTAATTGTTCATCATTTTTAAGAGAGAAAATAAAATAAAAATGTAAATAACAGAGAAATTTGTTTATTCTATTTTTAGAACTTTTTTTAGTTGCTAAATATGGTTTGTGTTATATCGAGTACCTGAATGTCTTGACGATGCTAATTTCAGAGCAGCAATTTATTGATCGGATTAGTGACACACGAAACCTGTACGAGCAGTCTAGACTACTTATCGGTCCTTCTTCCTGCCTATCCCTGACTGCTAATTCCAGAACACCAGTAACAGCCTTTGCAATATGAATTATTTATTTCAAGTATACTTAGTTTATATACCAAACAGACAGATCATATCGTACCATAAAATAGGAAACAACATTTGTACAAGCTTTAGCCAAATGTGGCTGTGAATAGGGGGAGAACAGTAATCAATGAACTAGGGATAACTCAAGAATGGTAAATCATATAATAATAGTTCATCGGTCAAAATAAAGCTTATAACAAAAAGGATGCTAATATGAATGGTTAAATTACTTAACCATCATACAACAGGTAATATACTTATTATATTATTCCATAAATAGTCGTCAAAAGTTAACATTCATAATTCTCTTCGGGATATAACAGTTTGTGTATTATTATTACCATTATTAATGACTTTATTCAAAATCATATTTTTGGTACATTATAGAAGTATTTCAATAAGCTTCTTTCGCAAAAAACAAGAAAACACAACAGAAACAATAAGCAATAAAAGAAAAAGAGAAAAAGAGATCTCAATCTGTACCGGATATCAGTTTCAGTGAAAGTATGAATACAATTCTTCTTCTTCTTTTTCAAAACTTTGGATATAGGGAGTATGATATCAGATGAATAGCGTACAAAAGACTTATTTAAGTCACAAACATTCAGCTGATTATCTCTTTTAATGTATCCATCACCTATAAGTTGTTTAAAAAGTTTCCATATATATGGAGAGTTTTTTACAAGAAAAGAGTTTCTGAGTAAACATAGCTATGAGACGTTTAATCTCTAGGTTTATCAAACCATTTAGCTTACGAAATTCAATAGAGTTTTTCTCTTTGTACATTCTTTCTTTTACTCTCTGTAATCCTTTTAGTTGTAGAGATAAAAGTCAATCAAAACTTAGACTAAGTGGTTTCATGAGACAACTAGTATCAAAATAGAATATAAGATAACAAGTGATAACATCAGTAGTGCTTTCCATTGAGTCATCTTTAAATAATTCCCTAATTAGTCGTACGAAAAAATGTTTTGAATACTTTCTTCTGAGTAATTCATATCATTGAGTATACTCCTTCCATTCTATCTACAAACTTTAGGTAGAACACGAATTATACAATGATCTGAGCTAAACAATGGAGCACGTTTACGAGTCATATATGTACCCACATCATTAATGAAAACAAAGTCTAAATGCACGTAGTGATACTAAACGATCGTTCTGTAAATCAGTTAACCAAGATTCTTGAATTGTGATGGCACCACAATTATGTTACATGCTTTGACTTAGTAGGAATTGAAGATAGTCCACCTTGCTAATTAGGGCTTGGCATTTACCATTTAAACTCCGCCTGTAGCTCCTCTGGGGGTTACTGCCGGTCCCAAGCCCGGGTAAAGGAGGAGGGTTGGGCATGGGGTTAGCGACCCCATACCGTAGAAAATCAACTCGCTAAAAAAACGCTAACCAGAAAAAATCATTCAAACCTTTCAAACTCTGCCCTGGGAGTAGAAGGAATAATTATGACGTCTCATGATGAAAGCCGAGTTCCTTCGGAAGTCATGAAGCCGATGCACCTTCTTACAACCAGAGCGACAATTTTTATAGGTACATGGAATGTCCGGACAATGTGGGAGACCGGAAGAGTCTTCCAAATTGCTGCAGAAATGAGAAAATACAACCTGGAGGTTATTGGAATCAGCGAAACACATTGGACGCATGTTGGACAACAACGACTGTCTTCAGGAGAACTTCTGTTATACTCCGGTCATGAAGAAGAAAATGCCCCACATACACAAGGAGTTGCATTGATGCTGTCCAGAAAAGCACAAAATGCACTTATAGGATGGGAATCTCATGGACCAAGGATCATCAAAGCCTCCTTCAGAACAAAAAGAGAAGGCATTACAATCAACGTCATCCAATGCTATGCTCCTACCAATGACTACGATGAAGACGCTAAAGACCAATTCTACTACAGATTGTAGTTGATCGTCGAGAAGTGCCCAACCAAGGACCTGACAATTCTGATGGGAGATGTCAATGCTAAGGTTGGAATGGACAACACTGGATACGAAGACGTCATGGGACAACATGGACTGGGAGGAAGGAACGAAAATGGTGAGATTTGCAAACCTATGTGCCTTCAATAAACTGGTCATAGGTGGCACCATATTCTCACACAAAAACATACACAAAGCCACTTGGATTTCACCGGATCACACTACACAGAATCAAATCGACCATATCTGCATCAACAAAAAGTTCAGGAGGACGATGGAGGATGTGAGAACCAGAAGAGGAGCTGATATAGCATCCGATCACCACTTGCTGGTCGCCAAGATCAAACTAAAACTCAAGAAGCAGTGGACAACGGCGCGGACAACATCACAAAAGTTTAATACGGCCTTTCTTCGAGATGCTGACAAACTCAACAAATTCAACATAGCCCTCAGCAACAGGTTGGAGGCCTTTCACGACCTACTCAATGTAGAGGGGACTACCATGGAGAGCAACTGGAAAGGTATCAAGGAGGCAATCGTTTCAACGTGTCAAGAGGTTCTGGGCAAAAAGAAGCACCATCACAAGGAATGGATCACTGTTGGTACACTGGATAAGATTGAAGCAAGGTGGAACAAGAAGGCAGCAATCAATATCAGCCGAACCAGAGCGGAAAAAGCTAAGGCACAAGGCAAATACACAGAGGCAAACAAGCAAGTGAAGAGGAGCATCAGGACCGACAAACGTAAATATGTGGAAGATTTAGCAAAGACAGCGGAAAAGGCTGCGAGAGAGGGAAACATGAGACAATTGTATGATACAACAAAGAAACTTGCTGGAAATTACCGTAAGCCAGAAAGACCAGTGAAGAGCAAGGAAGGCAAAGTAATCACCGACATTGAAGAACAACGAAACAGGTGGGTAGAACACTTCAAAGAACTCTTGAATCGACCAGCCCCACTGAACCCACCCAACATCGAAGCAGCACCCACGGACCTCCCAATCGATATTGGCCCACCAACAATTGAAGAGATCAGCATGGCTATTAGACAAGTCAAACAATTGTCAACCAACACCAAGGTTAGAATTTTCAATACAAATGTCAAGACAGTTCTACTGTATGGGGCGGAGACGTGGAGAAATACGAAAGCTATTATCCAGAAGACACAAGTGTTCATCAACAGCTGTCTACGCAAAATACTTCGGATCCGATGGCCAGACACTATCAGCAATAAGTTACTGTGGGAGGCAACAAACCAGATTCCAGCGGAGGAAGAAATCAGGAAGAAGCGCTGGAAGTGGATTGGGCATACCTTGAGGAAATCAGCTAATTGCGTCACAAGACAAGCCCTCCCATGAAATCCTGAAGGTCAACGTAGAAGAGGAAGACCAAAGGACACATTACTCCGAGAAATGGAGACAGATATGAGAAGAATGAACAAGAACTGGATAGAACTAGAAAAGGAAGCCCAGGACAGAGTGGGTTGGAGAAAGCTGGTCGGCGGCCTATGCTCCATTGGGAGTAACAGGCGTAAGTAAGTGAGTAAGTAATTTACCATTTAGAATCTCGGGAATCAACATACGAATAATGTTCATTCTCTTCAATGTATATTGCCAACCACACGATGCCTCTTATTGTACTTCTTTGTAATTTATTCAGCAAAAGGTCTCAAGCTTTTCATAAATCCACCTGTATAGGTTATACGATTAATAGATATAATGACGTGTTAAAACTAAAAAATGTACTTTTTAAGATGTTTTCTGTTGCTAAAGGAAACGGTGTATTTATATGTGTAATATTGACTATTCAATATCTACACTTACTTGATTGGAATTCAAATGTTGAACATGTAGTTAATGTACCAGTTGTATTACATTTCTGTCTTAATTTAATCAGTCATTAAAATTAGGTACAATCTGATGTTAAGCTCTTGACCATATTCATTACGAGAAGTAATAATGAATTCTTGATAAACAATAACTTGCAAAAATTCATTTCAGTGAATTAAAGGCTGTAACATAGAGATATATAAGACATCATGTATATTGTAAGTAGTCTTTTACAGTATGTGTAAGCCATAATTTATAAATTAAAGTATTACATATGAACTAGTATAGTGAATGAAAACATAGGTGAGGACAACCAACTATGTATTTAGCATAAATTACAACGTTGCTTGGTAAAAATACAAAAACCGTACTATGAAACTCTGTTTGCAAAATGTTCTTTGATTGTCTCATGCTTCATTGTTCCTGGATTTTCACACCAATCGCTTTTGATTTCTGTTCTTCTGTTCTTGATTTTCTCAATCTTCTGCTGTCAGATATTCTATTCGTTATTCACGACATATACTACTTATGTCGATATAAGTAGCCCGCATCACACTAGTATTAATGATACTATAGGAAACCATAGTAGGGTATAGGATAAATTTAGTTGTATCGTATATTTTAGCTGTCATAAACTTATACCTTTATTGATTTAACAAAAAATTTACTGGGTCAACTTATGAAAGGTACACGTGTATTACTGAACGATATATCACTCTTCAACAAATTTATCACTGTAAACATCTTAGTGCAGTAATGCCAGTGACAACTCAAGGAACTCTGTTGTAAGGATTCTGTGACACTGTGTGGCGCGTGTCGTAATCTCATGAGAAGAAATATACCGTAAATATCGTTTGATTATTAGTGATATTGAGATTTGGAATATTCAACCTATTTCAATATGAGACAGCTGAACATAATTTACTTATTTTTAAATTATAATCTTTGCTGTTCATATTCACTGAGGTGCCTTGAAAAAGTAGATTCGTCTTACTCTATGGTG